CTATCTCTTTTTATAAGCGGACAAACGTGTGTCGGTTGCAAAAGCCAAAAGCCAAATTGGCTTGCTTTTATTTCACTGCAGAAAGGGAAAAGGGTAGAGTGCGAGAGAGACAGGCTGATACTGCATTGTATTACTAGTTGTTTTCCAGCAAAGTGTGACGATTCCGTGCAATTAAAGCGGCTTTTGTGGATGTCTTCAACTTCAGACAAATGGTCTCGGATGCAAGCGGAAAACATACTCACACGCACACACACATATATGTAAACAGCCACAGCTGGTTATTGCAGGCAGAACGCCGAATTAACGGCAGTTGGATGTATTACTTGTATTTGTATTGTGTGTATGTTTGTATGTATGTAGATGTGCAGCATCGCTTGTGTATTATGTTGAATTCAATTTACTGTAAAGTTATTTATGCATGCGTATATGTGTGGACACATTGTTATTATTAAGTAGCTTTCCATCGGCTACAACTACAGTTCGTTAATGACCTGTAGGAGCTGCAGGCGCTGTAGGAGCGCAAACGTTGATAAAGGCATCGGTTAACTGAAAGCCGACCTGGGCGCAGGCGTCACGCACGCACACACAACCGCAAACAAAATACACGCAGTGTCTTTAATTGCCCTGCTGCCCGGGAGATGGCAGGGAGCAAGCGGTTAAGACTGCCAGTCTCGCTTGGAGTCGCACGTTTAGTTAACGTTGGGTGGGATTTATGTTTGCCTTACATGCATGTTGTACAAACAATTTAGCTGTAACTGTGACATTCACATACAAACTCACACGCACACACAGACACAGACACGCAGACACGTTCGAACATGCACAGCCAACTGGCGACCTCCATTTAACACCAAACGTGTCATTTGTGGCCATTTGCTGGTTGGTTTGCCTTTCTCTTCTTCTGCATTTGCTTTATGGACTTTTTCAGCTTTTGTGGTCTATTAAGTGGCCCGCAACAGTAAATCAAAATACGTACTGCATAATCTTTATGAGCCTGCCACAATACGCGGCGTATGAGTTATTTAACGCAAGTAAGCGAGCGAGCAACAAGCGGCAGAATTACATTTTTAGTTGTCCCGTTAAAATTACACAAAGTGCCGGCAAACCGTTTCCAGGGCTTAGAACTGGAGAGTGACAACAAAGCGAAATGAATGTGGATGTAGTATAATATAAACTGAAGTTCATTATAAGTAAAAACAAACGAGCAAAGTCTTAAGGCAGCTAAAGAACTTTGCTGCGCATGCAACAGTGGCAAAGACGTTGACAAGACAAAGACCAAGACTAGCCAAGTTAATTGCACTTGGAGAATGTTTCTATAATGCTCTCAGATTAAATCGCCATAGCATATATAAATCTGGGTCAACAGAAAAGTTTTATTACAACTGAATCTGGCATTATAATGATTAAAATGTTTCTCCATAAATTTCAATAATTTACATTAAGACTTGAACTTGATTTAATTATTATTTACAATCGTGTTAGCAGCAAAAATTAGTTGTTTCTGTTTAACTTACTTAAGTAACTATGCTCTTTACATATTTGACATATTTATATATTTATAACGATTAAAATGTTCCTCCATAAACTTAAATAATTTATATTGCGACTTGAACTGATTAATTTTCGATTTAATTATTAATTACAACCGTGTTAATAGCAACAATTAGTTTTTTCCTTTTGCTGAAGTTACTAATCTATTTTAATTATTGACATATTTATATAAAATGATTAAAATGTTCCTCCATTAATTTAAATAATTTACACAACTTGAACTGATTGAGTTTTGATTTAATTATTAATTACAAATGTGTTATTAGCATAAATTAGTTGTTTCTTTTTAACTTACTTAAGTTACTATACTCGTTTAATTATTGACATATTTTCTAGCTAATGATTATTTAATTTCAGTTGTTTTACAATTTTTACAGTGCATCCGGTCATCACACACGCGCAAAAACTTTCCCAAAGCAACAGGAAGCCGCACACACAAGCACATCCCCGTATGGATGGATGGGTTAGGATGCGTCGCATAAAGTTGTCTATCTAAGGCCGTTATTGTGTGTCTGTGCCTGCGTGTCTGTGTGTGTTTGTGCGAGTATGTGTGTCGGCTGGGTCGGTAAGCTTGTATTAAAAGCATATAAAAAGTAACGTTTAAAAACCAAACCTGGCTGGCTGACTGGCTGGCTGGCGGCGGGGCAATGAGCATCGCCTCGCGCAAATAAACAAATTAATAAAAGCCAAATAAAAATACAACAAACAGAAAAAGTAACTGAAGAAAAACACAAGAAAAACACGAGTCATAAATTAAATAGAAACAACGAAAATTACTTACCCAAAAACAGAGGCCGCCCAAAACGCCGAATGTGTCCCCTTTGCTGTGGCTGTCAATTTTTTTGTAGCATACACACAGGCGCGCGTCAAAAAGGAGTGGGCGCCGCTTGACGGCGGGAGGGTGGTGAGGGGGGGGTTGCAGCATTGGGTGCCAGCACGAATAATCTACTAGCGATTTATTTGTTGCTGTCGCCGCGTTCGCAGCCGCAGCCGCTGCCGACTTCGCCGCCAACGCCGCTGCTATTTTTGTTACTTCTTTTTCATATTTTTACTTACTTTCAACTAACGGCAACCGACGTCGCTCTGGCAATGGGCCATAAAGTAACTGCTGCTGCTGCTGCTGCTGCTGTTGCTTTTGGTGTTCGGTTATTCTAGCTCGTCAGCGTCGGCGCTGGCGTCGGCGTCAATGTCGGCGTCCTCGCCATCGTCCGAGCTCGTGCTCGTTCGCCGCAGTCGTGCGTTATCCTTTGCTCCAGTCGGTTGTGCACGCGCTTGGCAGCTGTCTGGCGCACCAATTTTCTCGCCAATTTGCTAACTTGGCTGCGAGACACGTCCAGTGCACACACCTGTGAGCGCCACTAGGCGGCTCTGCCTCTGCCGCTAGCACAACACAGAAAACATACCAAATTTGCACCTAAATTGCTTTAAATTATCGGCACAACATTTGGCACGCGCGAAGTTTGCACGGCGCGATTTGAGTATTGTTTGCCGCCGCCGTCGCCGCCGCTGCTGCTGCTGCTGCTGCTAATGGGTGTTTGTTTGGCGGTTTAAGCTGGAAAAGCGAAAGAACAAAAACATCACCGTTAAGTGTTTTCCAACTTGAAGGCATTAACTTTGGGTCCACTCTGTCCGTGGCTGCAAATCTTGGTAAGCATTTACTTGTGTCTTTCTCTCTCACCCAAAAGCCTTTTTAATTGTTTAAAGTTTTTGAAAATTGGCATTGTTTCTATGAAATATATTAAGCACAATTTGTTGTCCCTAAAAGGTTCGCCTGAACCCATTTCTTAGCATTTATATTTAAATGAGTTTTCGGGTTATGCGTATCAATGTGAAATTTGTTCGCTTTGTAAACGAATCTTAAAATCTATTTCGGTGCTTAACTATGTGGTTAAGATTTGTGAAATTCATCCCTCGGGTAAACGAAAGATTTGCTTTTCCGGGACTCCTGAAGCGTGTAAGCAACTGTCCTGACTTCATCGAGCCGTCACCTTGTCGCACCTGCATTAACATGTTCCTTTTCTGAGCTCCCGATGTGCTTTGCGTGTGTGCAGGCCGCGACGGCTTGTCTTTCTGCTGTGCTCCCGTTGTTGCTCCCGTTGTCGCTCCTCATATTCACGCATAAATTTTAATATTATTTCTATGCTTTAAATGGCCCTCGAGCCGTGTTTTACTATGTTTGTCTGTCTATCTGTGTCGTCGGCTTTCTAGCTTCCCCACATTTGGCTCCCGGTAAAAATAGCACACGGCATGCACTTATCCTTGAATGTAAATTTCAGAATATAAAATTTACATTCATGTGCCGAAAATAGATAGGGGTTCTTTTGTTTGTAACCACATTTAGGTCAAAGAGAGAGAAACTAACAAAGAGACAGAGCTAAAGTCAATTTCATAACTATTTACATTTCGGTAAAATTAAATTTAAAATACATTAAATATTACGTTTTATGTATAAACTGTGTAAAAGGTAAATATTTACTTAAGAAAGTTAGATAATTATTTAAGTTTCATAAATGTAGTAGGATGGGTTAGAGAAAGGGCAAGAGAAGGAAAGAGGAATAGAGGGAGGTTGCAAAAGACAGTGAGTAAGAGAGGGGGAGATATTAGATTAGAGATGCAGTACTACAGTACTCCCTCGCTAAGCGCAACTCAACAGGCCAATTGCTTAAATTGCGCTTGTTGCAAAACTGAGCTATAATTTTCTATTAACGAACGGACTTACTATTAAAGTGAGGTTCCTTTTCTGCACATTAAAATAAAAGTAATTAGAATTAATCTATATATAGAGTAATAATTTAATTTTGAAAATTGGTAACTTTTGGTACCACAATATTTTATTTTGAATTTACGAGCTTAAGAATGCGAATGTTGAGTTTATCGAGAAGTTGCTTGTATCGAGGGTTGCGTTGGGCGAGGGCTTACTGTACTTAAACGTAAAATACATTCACCCTTACAAACATACATTGGAAATTTTCATGCATACAAATCCACATATATATTTATATATATTGTCTAAAATGAAAGAAAGAAAATGAAAATAGCCCTGCGAAATACAATAATGGCTCGAATAAAACAATATAATATTTACTATATAACGGAACTGAATATGAAAAGTATTTACTAATTTTCTGGGCAATAAAAAAAATTTGAAAATATCTGCAATATATGAGATGCAGTTTGCCAATTAAGTATTCTATAAATGTTGCTGATTTGTGATCCTTTAAAATAAAGCAGCATTTGCAATTTGCATATTCAGCATTTCAATTATTTTCGTACGAAGTGTGGGCAAACACGTGGTCATCAGTTTTGCAATTGGCTGTGAGAGTATTTTCCATTAGCACATTTCATTTTAATTAAGCTGGCAAGTGTCACGTACTTCAGTTCGCTTTATTCTGCATTGAGAGCTGTTCCCCTTCCCCTTCCCCTCCCCCTCTCTCTATCTTGTCTGCCTCGTTCGACAGCAGCTTTGCATGATTGCAATTTACCTTTGCCCGTCGAAATGTCAAGTGGTAGCTGTGAATGTTACACAAAGTTCACAATGTTCCAAATTGGCCGCCCACCTGTCTGCGCTCGCTCGCATCAAATTCAAATTCAAACTACCTGAGAACGTACGTATGTATTTGACCCAAATCGTCGTTTGTGCTTAAAACACTTACTTTGATTTGATTTAAATCCAATAATATTTAGTTGGGCCAAATTTGGCGCAATTTCCAAAAGTTTTCGCCGAAAAGTTCCATACAAATTGGCGCCCCGCCCTCAATCGCATTTAATTAAACGCATTTTAATCGTTGGGCGCCACACAAACTGATTGCGCTGTTGGCCTGAAAAGTTTTTCAGTTGCCAAAATCAAACACTAAGAACGGCATTTTTTGGGTAACCAAAGTATAAAGACCCTTGCAGATATATGGCTAGAAAGTTACGACAGATATTTGATATGGTAGTGCGATATGCTCGGCGAACAGTGAAGATTTTGAGTTGGATCAAGATATCTTGAATAACTGTAAAACTCAGGTTAATCAATTAATTAATCTAGAAGTCCAATGAGGATTAGATTTTACTTAAATGGAGGGATCATATTGAAGATCGCAAATTGCAAATTTTATTCCAAATCTAAGAGATAAAAACATTTTTCAAATTTGTAGTATGAGTTTGAATGTAGCAATCATATTGAAGATCGCAAATTTCAAGTTTTTTTCCAATTCTAAGATATGAAAACATTTTTCAAGTATTATGAGCTCAATTTTCGACTGTATGATATACATAGAAGTCAAAGCTGGCCGATTCCGATATATATACAAGCTGCAACAAAATAGAAGACAGGCAGATGTCCATATTGACTTGCTTGTGGATCAAGAGTATATATATATATGAGTATATATGTATGTAAGAGTATGAAGTATATATACTTCATGGCGCCAAAGACGTCGTTTTCGTGGCAGTTGATAATACCCTCTGGTAGGGTATAAAAACAAGGAGTATAAAAACAGTTAGCGAGTTTGGCAGCGTTTATTTAAGTTGTTGCTGCCAATTGTTGGCTTTGAAGTAGTTAATTAAGTGATTGCCTGATTGACGACCAAGCCAGTCATCCCCCCCGCCGGCTAACCAAGCAGAAAAATATTTCCAGTTAGTGATTTGATTTTCAGTGGACTGAGTATTGAGTAACAATTTCTAGCTTCGGCCTTTAATTGGCCACAACATGGCCGAGGAAATGTTGCAGCAGCAAAACAACAAAAGTAAATTAAAGCTGTCGATCCGGGGGACTTAAGAGCGAAGTGCTCTGTCGACTGCAAGTGCCAGGGTCAATTAGAAGGGCCATAACAGAATTAGCCTTGATAAGTGTGTGCACTGCAATAGCTCGGCAACAGTAACAGGACGCAGCGAGCAGGATGAGTTGGCTCCTTTGGCTCGTTTGATTGATAGTCGAGCGGAGTGCAGAACATGACAGGAATAACAAGGTTACTCGTACGTAAGGCCAGCAGCAGCAGCAGCACACATATTAGATTTGTGCACAGTTTAATTCAGCATCATATTTGAGTTATTAATAGATAAAACAAGTAAGAGGTTCTAGTCGGGAGCTCCCGACTAGGGGATACCCTGAACCCCCTTCTTCCAACAGGCGATGGGTATAAAAAAGAAAGATACTTGATATATATATACTATTCTAGAAGCTACTTGTTAAGTTTGGCGACTCTAGCTCATATTATTTGCCGAAATTGTTCAAAAAACATGATTTCGATATCGATTTTTATCGATTACTTGGAAACGGGGCAAGTCATCGAATATCGGAAACAAACTCGATCTGCGCGGGCACTAGGAGGACCTGAAGCTAAAATATCAAGACTGTAGCTCTTATAGGTTCTGAGATCCTTGCGTTCATACATACGGACAGACAGACGGACGGACAGACGGACGAACATGGCTAGATCGACTCGGCTGTTGATGCTGATCAAGAATATATATACTTTATGGGGTCGGAGATGCTTCCTTCTGCCTGTTACATACATTTGCACAAATACATTATACCCTTTTTATCCATTTTCAATGGGTTCTGGGTATAAAAAGAAGAAAAGATGTAAATGCCCAAGTGGTTGACTAGGAAACAGTTTGTATGTAGGCACAAAAGACTGCACATTTTATTTTCTTTTATTATTTATTATTGGTTGATCAAACCAAGTATTTAGTACACAAAAATAGATTAATTACAATTGGATAAATATCCTTTATTTGTTATCCAACTCTTTGGAACTGGGAGATACCCTGATCCCAGAGCCAAGCTATTGTTACAAGCATTCTGGCATCTTATATGGTATATCAACACACACATCCGCACACACATCCGCAAACAAATCCGCACACCCAAGCATGCACTTCGCATTCTGCGCAGTTAACACAAAGGTTGTGCTTCTTCTTTCCTTTACATTCTTCAACAGATTCTGTGGAAGGCGTTTCTGTATCTTATCTATACCTATATGAACAAGCTTGCAACTTCCAATTGCTTGTTTCAAATTTAAGACATCAATTTTCCCGCCCTTGATAATCGACATTTACCCGTTTTATCTTAAGCTCCACAGCTCGAGTCATATTTTAATTATATATTTAAAAATTAATTTGATGTCTATTGAATTAAAAACCAATCAACGTTTTCCGCTCATATTTCACTTGTGTCGTGAAGTTTAGGGCCGAAAAACAAACTTTTATTCATTCAACCATCCAATTGAGTTGTCACAAAAACTTTAAAAATTATACTGAACAAAAAGTAGCAAAAAAGTCGTTTTCCACCCATTTTTCACAGTTGTGATAGAAATTTCTAAAATCGCTAACACATGTGTTCATTAAGAAGAATAGTTCAGTTCTTCAAAATATGTTTAAAGCCGATCGGTCGAAACTTAAAACTTGCACCAACAAATTATTGAACAGCATTTTCTTTGGATGTTTCTTGACTTTTTAACTTGGATTTTTCGCAAAAAATAAAACAAGTCTCAATTGAATTTTCACTGTAATTCAAATTTTCTTCGAAAAGTTGTGGAATTCGCAAAAACGCGAATAAAGCATCAAATGGGTTTTCATCAAGATCTTGAAGCCGATCGAAATGGCAAACGAAAAGGCTTTCACACTTTCGGGTGGAATTTCCCAAACCTCTGTTTTAGCATGTACCTGAGGTAACAATAGTAAAAACTTTAGCTTTCTAGTATTTACGGCTTGGATCAGTCAATCACTCAGAACAAACAGTTTTGTTTTTAAAATTCTGTCACGAAAGTCCATTTACATAAATAATGCAAATCTTCTGCCTTTTAAAAAGTAAGCATATATTTATAACTATGCTGCTTTTTAGCAGTTTTATTATAATAATATTCAGATGAGATAAGATAAGATAAGATAAGATAGCAAAAGTAATTCCTGCCACATGCCTGTATCCAAGCTTAGGTTCAAAAATTGCTTAGATAAATTCAATGTTTGGGGTCCAAGCTATTTGATTTAGCCCCATTAAAATAGTTTTTGTTTTTAAGAAAATATCCTATTTTTTTTAAATATGTTATGGCTTGGGTTTTGATGCGGCTGCGTTTGGCAACTAGTTGGGGTTAAGGTTAGGTTCATAGTTTAAAATAAATTGGAATGCCGAGCACGAACAGTCCCAAAAAAAATTTTTAATTAATTTTATTTTTATGCGCTTAGCTTCAAAACCTTTTGAGCTTTTGATAACAAATATGTAAAAAGTAAAGCGCTTTGCCCCTTAAATGGAACTAAGTGAATCCCATATTATTTTTACTTGAAGTAAGGCTCCAATTTGACTCCTCAAAATCTACAATCAAACGAATTTTATATATTTATGGCTAATTAGTGTGACTAACTAGTTAGTGACTCTTTCTCATTTCCATTAGTCAACTGACAAACTACACACTTAGCGATACGCAAAAGTAAGTCAAAACTTGTTTCACATAACTCATACGCACCGTTGTCCACGGCAGTTCAGTGTGCATTCTTAATGTGCCACGACATGTCGCCCAAGTAGGCACACACACATACACACACACACACGCACACACAACTGACTGATTAACAGCCATTCGGGCCGCAAAACGTAGCCAAACAATGCGATATTCGGGCCCCAATTGTAAGTGTTTCGCCATGGTGATGTCTATGGCTTCTGATGGCTGTCAGTTAGAATTTGGCTGCGCAGACGTTTGCAGCATTTGCTGCACGTCTTGTTTCTGATACTGTTGGCTGCTGGCTAAAAATACGGGGCCATGTTTTTGTGTATCCAAGAGATACACATCGCCATTGTTGCCAACCTGGCGAATTAAGAGCTCACCGGGCCCCTTCGCATAGATAACTAGAGCGAAGAACTTCTGCTTAGTTGACTGACTGACTGAGTGACTGGGTGACTGACTGACTGACTGAGTGACTGGGTGACTGCTGCTGCTGCTGCGCTTATCTAATTATAGCTTCATTACGGCAACTGGATGAACTTAACGAGCAAATGGAGCGTTCGTAGGTGACAGAGCTCGGCCATTCGAAGGACGACGCGCCGCCTGACAGGCTGTTGCTCTGGCTGGCGACATGTGCAAAGGCATCGCTGGCCGGAGACAGTTTATTTATTTTGATCATTATGGCTGGCAATATGACAGCCTGATAGTTTTATACGTATGTATTATACGATGCTGATGACATTGTAATGATATTGTAATCAGCCCGAGCTGCGCACCAATAGTCAAAATAACACTCATTAGGCAATAAGCCCACACTTACAGTTGTCAGTCAACAGAAATTGAGTTCGTTAACGGTAGGCAATGTCTATATGTGTGTGTGTGTGTATCTGTGTGTGTTTGTGTGTATCTCTGTGTGTGTTGTTGTTGCTATTGAAATTGCGCTGTCATAAGTATTTGCAGCAAGCCATCAACACCATCAAATTGAAAGCTTTTTCTCACCTTGGCTACATTGGCAAATGGCAGCTAAAATGACGCCTGACAGCACATACATTTACTCACACACACACACACACGCTAATACACACCCACACACACAGCTGCAACCAGTGCCATTATTTGCTTTTTTGTTGTTGTGTTCGCTTTTTATTTTATTTGATTTGCCTTCACATTTCACAGACGCTGCTCAGCTTTTGGCTTTTGTTGTTAAATCGTTGGTCCATTTCTCTTTTCCTCCTGTTTTTTTTTTGTTTTGTCGCCTCGCTTGACGCTGATTGAATACAAATACGAATGCAAATGGGAATACAAATATAAACAAATGTCGCCCACCTGCATGTAAATACAAACAACAGCTTTAATACACCATCAAATGATGGCATGTCTGGCAGCCACCTGCGCTGCCTGTCGCCGGGATACTTTACCTCGGCGAAATTCGATTTACAACATTTTCTCCTCTCTTTTTTTTTACACTTTGCTCGGGGTGTTATCGCTTCTTTTTTTTGTTGGGCTGTTGCCATTATGTGATTTTGTTATACTGTGCACCTTAAATTCAAAACACACAAAATACGTAATGGCCCGTCGCCAGTTTATGCGTAACAAGACATCAAAGATACCCTGTAATCAGCACAG